CCCCAAAACCCCAAAACCCCAAAACCCCTTTTTAATTTTATCAAATTGAATGATTCAATAAATACTGACCAAGCTTCCAGTTCACAAGACTAGAGATCCCGCTAGAGATCGAATAAGATAACTGTCTGAGATGAATATATGGAGGAAGAAAGCTAAACTAGATATGGGCAAAGTATCTTTCAATATCTGTCACTTTTACAGAGTTTTGCTGAAGGAATTATCCTTTGAATTTTGGCGTGATGATATTAAGAGGATTCACATCAAGCATATGAGCACTAAGGAAGGAAGCAGACAACTATGATAATGAAGAATGAGCAATATGCAAAATATATGCAAGTCTGAAGTTTTGAGAATAGAATAGGAGCGCTCAGTATCATGGCATTTCAGAGATATCTAAATTTTGATTGATTAAGTAACAATATTGACTCAATAAGATATGTACAAAATGCATGGTTTTGAAGCCAAGAAGAATCTTATGAGGAAAATTTAACCACACAGATGTAGAAAAAAATAGACGCTACATCATGGCATATTTGGATTACTGTTTATCATCCTAGATCAAAATTCTAAAACTGGTGTGTTGATTATAGTAGAGCAGAAATGATTAAATAACTTCAGAATTAATAATTAATTAAAAATCCAAATGAAAATTACTTTCGGAATTGTATTGTGTTTGGCTCTTGCCATGTCAAGCGCCTTCAAAATCAGGTAAGCAATACTTCCAATATTGCCACAATACTCTCAATGTAGCCGAGGCTGCATAGGACTTTCAGTGGATATTTCTGTGCCCATATTGATTCATCATTAATACCAAATATCTAATCTGGTTTAGACAAGGAAACATTGCTGCTGATATTGGTGCTGGTGTTGCAGCTGCCAACCAAGCCATCACTGACAGTGAAGAATTCTTCAACGATGCTGTCCACGGTGCTCAAGCTACCATGGAGAACTTTGCTGGACAGGCCGTGAATGGTGCAGGAGCCCTCGCTGGTATGATGGCTGGTGGAGCCCCCGCTGGTGGAGCTCCAGCTGATGGAGCCAGACTTCAGCAGACTGCTGCTGATGCTGCCAACGTTGCCACTGCTGATGCTAGTACTCTCGCCACTGATGCTACCACCGTTGCCACTGATGCTGCCAACGTAGCTGCCGATATCGGATCTCAGTGGGTCAACACCGCTACCAACTTCCTCGAAGGACTCGCTGGTACCAACGGTGGTGCAAGACTCCAGCAAGGAAACCTCGCTGCTGACATCAACACTTTGGGTCAAGACTCTCTCGTTGCTCTTCATGATACTAATCAAGCTGTTGATGATGCTCTCGACCAGAGTGAAATGATTGCTAACAACGTTATTGAAACCACAGAGCGATCTTTCGTAGCAAATGGAATCACCATTGCTAACCCAGATAGACTCCAACAGGACGCACAGACTGTGGCTGAAGATGCTACAGATATTGCTGATGATTTAGCTGAAGCCACTAACGATGGAATTCAAGCTGCTAACGACATTGCTCAACAAAGCCTCCAAGCCTGGACTGGATTATTCAACAGAGGAGCTGGAGCAGAACCAGCGGCACCAGCCGTCAGAAGACTTCAGAGATTCCACTAAAATGAAGGTTCTGAGTTGTGATTTTTTAAGGAAAGCTTAAAAATCACTGGAAATAACAAATTGATAAGAAATTAAAAAGATGTGTTCAATTAATTTTCAGCATTACGGGGTTTTGGGGTTTTGGGGTTTTGGGG